ACAACCACCAACAAGAGCATCATGGCTAATTTCTCAAGTACTTATTTCGTGATGATGAAGACGATGTAACAAACACTAACTTTCCTCAGCGGATTGCATCACCAGCGGCCCAAGCCTCTCGAACCTCACTCTCCTCAGTGAAATCGCCCGCTGTCAAGTCGCCGCCAACACGTCCTTCTGCTGGCCACCCAACGGCACACGCATTTGCGTTCCAACACGGCGCAGCATACCCTTTTACTGGCCACCATCCTACTACGACCCAGATGCCAGAGTTGCCATCGAGTATGACCTGGGTTCGCGCCTCCTGCTCCTCATGAACAACACGGGCAATCGCACAGAATCGTTCACCGAGTATATGTATAACAGCCAAGCGAGCAAGATCCCTGGGACGGCGGACGAGAAAAGTTTGAAGATGTATATGCGCGAGAGAGTGTTTAATGATGACGTGGATCCGTTGAACTTGAAGGTGCATGAGGGACCGACGGTTGTACTTGTGAAGACAGCGCATTGGACGACGACAACTAGAAGTGCGTGGACAACGGCAACTCAAAGGCCATCTCGTTTCGACTCTGACTCCGACTCTGATCCACGGCTCTCCGGCGGCAAGATAGCAGGAATTGTCGTCGGCGTGATCGGGGCCTTGTTCTTCCTTATCACGTGTTGTTGCTATAATTGTTGTTGTGGGACGAAGCGTGAACCGAAGCCAAAGATCAATCCGGAAGAGCAAGCAAGGATCGTGGCTCAGGGTGTTGAGTTGATGGAGCAGGGCAAAAGAGTGCAGCCGCAAGTGCAGAGTGTGACGCCGACTTTGAATGTGGGCAACAGAGCGACGGATGTTGAGATTGAGCGTATGAGGGATGCGAGGGCGCCGGAGTACACAGCGGAGCCGCCACCGCCAAGGTATACGCCATAGGTGCGGAGGAGTTTGAGGTGACGAAGATCATACTGCGAGAGGAACATCTGAAGGCCAAACCCCACCATTCGAAGCGTTCGAAGACGCTACCTAGACCGCAGGGTTATTAGCAGCTGCGTAGAGCACAGAGGCGCCTCCGGGGTCGGTGGAGAACAAAGCCAAGACGAAGAGCTTGATCAGTTTGTTAAGAGGGGCCGGCGTTTAGTAGACGCCTCAAACACGCTTCGAACTCTTTGTTAATGTTTGGCAAGCAGGCGGCTTTCCAAGGTCGTTCCAGGTCCAGGTTCAGATACAAAGGTTGTCAGGATTTGCTAGGTGTGAACGTCGAAGTCATGAACAAAGTATAGACACTTTTGGATGGGTGGGGCATCTTTGTTGTAACATTTTATCTATGCGAAGGACCCCTTCACTGGGGAACTGATACAGAAGAAGATTCTTAAGAAGAATGTAGTACAATTGGTTGCTGATTCGAGGATGCCCGTTATGCATGTAGACCATGACGAAATGCGTCCTTCACGAACGTTTGAACCAATTCATATTATTCCCAGTCAGATCATAAGTCCTCGAGATGCTTTCCCATGACTTAAAGAACGCATAGAAGCTGATTGTGCCGTTTGAAGCTCTCATTGGCTGCTTGTGCACCGCCACACGCGCACATTCGCCCTTTACCCTTTCGGTGCCTACCCAATGCGCCCTTCCCTCTCACACATCAATCGACTCATCCTTTGTCACTCCCTTGACTCTGTCACACATTCTGTAGCAGCACTCAGTTGAATTCTGCACAACCCACAAGCCAAATTTTGCCCGCCCCACCAAGATTGCAGATCGACTTTTCACACGAGCGCTGAAAGAGATGGCACGCGGTGGTCGAGGTGGCGGTAGCCGCAATCCGGCAAATCAGTCAAGAGAAGTCCAGGTGTCGAGAAAAATTAGCTGGTTGTTGAGGCATGGTGCGAGTTCGGAGGGGTTGACATTGGGGAAAGGTGGATATGTTAATGTGCAGGATGCGGTGAGTTTGTATTGCATTCCCTCTTCCTCAAGTCGGCTACACTGTTTGAAATACTGCCTGCTTATCACTGAGCCTCGCATTCTCGCCCAGTGGCCAATGTCTAAGGGTATAGTCAAGTTTCATGACACGTAAACTAACAAGCCCTTAGCTAAACACACGAGCTCTCAAATCTCTACAAATCACTTTCTCCGAGCTGCGCGACTCAGTAACCAACAATGACAAGCAACGCTTTTCCATGATCCTCGCCACCAGTCTTGAAGAATCCGAAGGCTCCTCTCCACCACAAGAGAAACTTGAATCGGACGCTTTCCAAACACTACCGGAATCTAACGACCCAGCCGATTATCTCATTCGCGCCAACCAAGGTCACTCCATCAAAGTCGACGCCGAAGGCTTGCTCACGCCAATCACTGCCGAAGCCGGCAACGTCCCAGAGACGGTTGTGCACGGCACCGACGAACGAGCGTGGCAACTCATTCTGAAAGGTGGTGGGCTAAGAAAGATGGGCCGGAACCACATCCACTTCGCATCTGGTCTTCCCGCTGGATTCAAATCCACGGTCACCGATACTGCGTCTACTGAGGAGAAAGAAGCAGCGCCCGTCATATCAGGGATGCGCAAGAACAGCACAGTACTAATTTACATCGACATACAAGCTGCACTTGCCGCGGGTGTCAAGTTCTATGTCTCTGAGAATGGTGTTATCTTGACGGAGGGAAATGAGAAGGGCTTCTTGGGCTATGAATTCTTCAAGCGTGTCGAGAGTAGGAAGCAAGGCGGTGGGGTGCTGATGAGTGGAGGTGAGTTACCGGAGGGTGTGGCCGTTGATGTTGAAGCGTGGGAAAAGGAGATTGGGGATGCTGGGAAGGGCAGAAGGGGTGGCCGAGGTGGCGGTAGGGGAGGAAGAGGTAGTGGAAGGGGAGGTGGAAAGGCGAGGCTGAATGATGACTCGAAGGACCTGCTGGCAGATGCTTGAAATGATCCAAGGGTCTATAAAACCTAGATTGAGTTAAACTCGACGTCTGTAGGCTTGCTTATATGGCGAGTCTAGCTGAAAGCGTAGTTGAGCGACACAGTACAGAGGGTAAAGCGCATTCAAGTAGTGCTCAAGAAGTCCTCATACTGCACCTTGACAGCTCCGGTGGGACACTCCTGAATGCCCTCGCGTGTGCTTATGTATGCTGTACTACCTTTATAACGCATTAAGGGCCTCTAGGCTTTTACAGTAAGAATGTGTTTGCTACTCTAGTAGCAGTCGCATCTATCGCGCTGCCCTTGTAAGAAGTTACGGAGGGGATAGATCTGTTGTCCAACCGGAGCTGCAAACGTGCAGTAGTATATCTGTGTATCAACACATTTTGGATAGCATAAAATTGATCTTTCCGCCCAAAGTCACAAACTCTAAGGTCCACACATAAGTTGTCCAACCATCCGAGTTTTCCCCGCACCCACTCACTCATCCGCTCAGCGATCATCCGACATCCGATGACGTCCTTTGCACACATCCGCTTCGCTCCTCTCTGTAACCCGGCATTTGTCTAGTCAACCCTTAAAGCTACAATTGCATATCTGGATTTTTACCGCAGCCACAGAAACCTTTGAATCAACAACACATCAAAATGAGCCGCCCCTACGCATCCGAGTACCCAAAACTCGATCTCGATCCGGACTTTAAGTCTTTCTTTGAGGACTTTTATGCCACGTCCGATACACCTGATGCGCATGAGCATTATGTCAAGTACTTTACTGACGATGCGACGTTGATTATGGCGAGTAAGAAGGTCAAAGGAACAGAAGGTACGAATTCCCCCACCATGCTCATCACCACTTCTCTTCCCAACTCTAGCACTGTCCAAACCCCCTAACTACCAATCGGTATAACGCAAAAACAGAAATCCTCGCTCTCCGCAAATCAATGTGGGAAAAGGTTTCATCGCGCTCGCACAACCCGGTTAAGATCTTCCCCTTTGGCAGCTATTCGGACGAGGTGATGCTGTACGGAACGGTCAAGTATGGGCTCAAGAGCGGTGGGGAGAGTGGATTGGACTGGGCAGCGAGAGCGAAGTTGGTCAAGGTTGATGGGAAGGTCAAGATGGAGTTTTATCAAGTTTATTTGGTGAGTTCACGATTGCGGAATGGAGATGGCGAGAGGGAGAGGATGAGACTTGGACGGATCTGCTGACTCGAGGACAGGATACTGGCGCGCAGGCGAAATAGCGGCGTGATCGAACGATGGCATCAGATGGGAAGGTTGCATGGTGGATACGCCGGCGCTATGTTATGGCCGCTGGGGTACTTCTAGACTTTGTTTCATGCATTTCCCTTCTACAAGCGCAAGTCTCCGAAATTGAGAAAGATCTCTGTAAAGAACTGATATCGAAGAGGCTGCAACTTTACTCGTTGCACAAACCCTTTCAGGTCCCGAGCGAGACCTAAGGACTGCCGGTCGTGCGGTGTAAATGGACATGTGGACTTTTACAATGAAATCTGCCAAGGTACAAAGTGCGGAAGGAGCGCGACACCCTGGTTCAAGATAACTGATGTACCCTCTACAAGTCACATCTCGCCGATAGCAAAAGAGCGCGGCAAAATATGTTTTGCCTATCCAATTCGTCGGTAACGGCATGTCAGTGACGTTTGGTGTACCTTAGTACTCAGTGTTTGAGAACCGCGCAGTGACCACAATTACGCTGGGCAGTGAACCTTCAAACGCAGCGGATTGAGTTCGGAAGCATCCCCAATAGTGACTTATGGTTAAGAAAGACTACTCATATGCAATCTCCGCTACAGATTCTACTACATTGATATCTCTTCGAGTCAGCGCGCAATAGTACAGTTTCAGCAACACGGCGCTCTCTTTCTTCCAACCATTCATGCCTCGTTGTACAACAATCATTTCTCCCACATTCTTTGCAAATCCAGCCTTACGCTCTAATTTTGCATTCTAACCAACCGGATTCTGAAAAATCTGCCGTGGTGGGGCACAAAAAGTTTGGTTGGCCCCAACCCCGTCCCACACCACCGACTATCAACCTCCTCCAACACAGGTATGTGGACAAAAAAAAGAAATACGATCAAAGCCCGATGCGGGGGTCGAACCCGCAACCTTGAGATTGCGATTGGATCAATCGTCGTGTTAGGACGTGTGACGCTAAGAGTCTCACGCTCTACCGATTGAGCTAACCAGGCTGGTTGATGTTGTGCTTGATGAAAGAAGCGAAAACAATGATCAATATAGAGTAAAAAGCAAATTAGGGAGTGAGGTAGTTGTGGTCAGGACACATCGGGGTGCGACCAAATTTTGACTCATCGCGGAAATTCTGAAGATGCCTGTCGGCCGAAATGCTGGCTAAGTGGGGCGCTTTGCTTGATGCGGGGTCCGGTTTGGCAGAATTTGCAATCCGGGCCGGAGAGCATCGTCATTATGGCTTATCATGTGGTGGGCGCATCCCACAGAAACATCGTGAGCCTCGCGCATGGCTGTGAGACGCTATACATGTGCTTTCGATGATTGTGTCTTATTGTGTACACCGCGAGTGATATTGGTTTGTCTCATTCTTTTGACCAGCGGTTCCTATTCATTGCACCAAATTGACGACTCCTATGTCAACCAAGTCTAGCCCTTCAATTCACCTTGTTACAAAGTGCTGTGTAGCCTCAGGGCATTTTACGTGTTCAATTGAAATGATTAAACCCCTGTGAAAACACTCAGGCCTCTGCAACATCACAAAGCAGGTGATGATTGCGACTATTGAGCCTGAACGCGCGCACACTGTATTGCGACACTTAGTTGTGCTATTATACTTGCTTACAGAGGCCTGTTTATCCTCAGAGATACTTTCTTGTAAAATCAAAAGAGAGCAAAATAATCCGAAGATATCCAGCCTGTTATAGCATTGCAAAAGTGCCCCAGTCCATCTGATACCATCGCTCAGTCTCGTTGCTACTTCGCCTGCGGTCCAACAGTATATCCTCAAGTTAGACTATCCATTCCAATCCTCTCCGTTTCCCTTCCAAAGTACCAGCAATACTCGCCGAGAGCTATTGGAATGTGTACATCTGGTAACCGAGGCGCCGAGAGCAAAGCATGAACTGTCGCTTCTTCTCAAAGGACAAGCCGCTCGAACGGTGGCAAGACAGATATACATAGGCCGTGTTTACCTCAGTAGGACGATTGCGGAGATGTGCCAACGGAGATAAGACATATAAGGACCAATTAGTTACCCTGATACGAATGAACCACGTTCTGCAAGTTTTCACCTCCGATGGGACGGTTTTTTTGCTACGCCCAGAAATTTAAGTAAATATAACGCGAGTATCTACAATCGACTGAAGATCTCTCCTCTCAATGCGCATGTAGTAGCGAAAATATCTTCAGCGAATTATAAAGATCGCGTGGAAGCCTTGCAGGCGCGCGAGGGCCTTCACGAGGATGCCATCGCAGATTTGAAGGTGTGGTGAAGACTTGTACCTATTTCGCCTGCGCTCCAGTATCCCATTCTCAAATTAGACTATCCATCCCAACGCACGCTCAATGAAGGAGCGAACTTGCGTCTTCCTCTTTCTCAAGGCCTGAACTTTGGTGAAGATGATCTCGATCCCCTCTTGTGGAAAGACCTTGGAACGAGCTCAGATCCAATCAAGCGTGCATATCATAAACTGCGCCTAGAGAAAGCCCAGGCCTGGCAAGTCCGTTCGAATCGTCTCAGAAATGACAACATCATGAAATCCTTGGTCGAGAATGGCTTGTTTCCGAATAAGCTCAAATTACGGAAGGACCGCAATGCCTCAGTCGAAATCCATCGGAATGTTTTCACGGTACTAGAATCTGCGAATGTCGAAGTCAAACTAGACACAATGCGCATTAGCGTTGAACTCCTAGCTGAAGGTTCTGTGCATGCCCATCGCGCTGCGAGGGATGCGAAATCCGGCGATCCTGCTCAGCGCCTAGGCGTACATTTGACTGCCGAGACAACCCAGGGTTCAGGCATAGCTCGTTGGATATTCACCCCCAGTGACCAGGGTGCGAAGAGAATTAATTCTATAGTGGACTGGCTTGAAGGAAAAGATGAGAATGATGAAGGTGTGAGCCGGCTATCTGCTATTATTCTGCTATGATTGGCTCCTGGAGACCCTCGCACCTTTTTATGAGCTGAACACAATACTAATATATCATTGAATACCTCTTAGCAACTACAAAATAAAATCTTTATCAGAAGTTGAATATAGTCAGCCTAAGCAATGAAGACTTTGTTGTGACTCTTCGGAGCACCACTTCACGGGGAGATATACGGCCAAATAGCAGAAGCACACGGCCAAATATATTTGGCCATTGGATATAGTTCAAGATGCACATCAGTACTTGGACAGTCTTGCTTGTGCAGCCAAGTGAAGTTGGCAGTGCGTGGTGAGCTTCACCTAAATCTCGGAACGCTTCGCAAGCGAAGAACTTCCAGCAGCGCAGGCTCCACCACCAACACTCAGACTGCATTTGAAAAGTTAATATTATAGATTTCTTGACACGATGGCGGAGCGGCACATGTCTACGTAGGTGCACGCCTAACAGCATAAGAGCGCCCCACTGCATGTAAGCGGCATTTTGACCCCCAGCCTCGTTCAGCGCGAAATCCCCGAAAACACCGAGTAGTCGACCACTCTTGCCGTCAGCCACCACCGAATCGCGTACTACCTAGCACTGCCTCAATCTGGGAGCAACAAAGGCACATTAAACATAGGAAGTGTTATTTGGAAGAACTGCGAGGCCTTTATCCGCATCAGCAATGACAGAGCAACCACCCGCCATACGAATAGCAGACAAAGATGGAGATGGGCCCGCTAAGCGACGCCGACGACCAGCCCTCTCATGTGTGGAATGTCGAAACCGGAAAGTGCGATGCGATCGTAGAGAGCCGTGTGGATCTTGTACTCGATTGCGGTCGGAGACCTGCACGTACAGACCTCAGCGGCCAGGCATTCGCCCACGGTCACCTGCAGATACATCCGCATCCGCCAGTGGCACCAATGACCAAGATCGCGGCAATTCGGCTCGGTCTTCTCCCCAGCCATCAGCACCGTCCAATGAATTCCACCTCATGGTCAACCGATATGTGGCACCGGGCATATTCGGGGAGCATGGGAAACAAAAGCTTACACCGTTACCGGTCCATCGACCGAACCTGACACTCAACTCACATTCAGAGTCTAGCGAGTCTGCGCTAATTGCTGGTCTGCTCGAGCGGATTCGCAGCCTGGAGAGCAGAGAGACGGCACGGGTCGATCGATCAGTAAGCACGAGTACCACCAACCCAGAGGGCCAGGACAACTCCACAGGGCGATTTATCAAGTCGAAATTTTATGGGCAGAGCCATTGGGTCAACGCCATTGAGCCTTACGATGCCTTGGGCGATGGCAATACCACGGTAAACCACAACACCAATCGGAGAGAAGTGAACAAGAAAACAGAATTGTACGGCACAGTCATCAAGATCAAACAAATGGCGCGGATCATTAAGACGTCACGCATGATGCACTCTTCTCTATCTCAGGAAATTCAAGACTCGATCCCGTCAAAGGAGGTGTGCGACGCACTCATCGAGTGCTATCTGCGTACCTTTGAGGGAGTATTTCGGGTGCTCCATGTACCGTCTTTTCGGAAAGAGTACGAATCGTACTGGATTGGTCTCTCCCCGACAAAACCATCTGTTACCCTCAAAATTCTCCTCGCTTGTGCGATCGGTGTACCCTTCTACACTGGTCCAGACCAACCATCCTTGCGCACTGCTTGTGCCAAGTGGATCCAGGCCGCCGCTCAATGGCTGAGCGGTCCTCATGCAAAGTCCAAACTGAACATGACCGGCCTGCAGATCCAGATCCTTCACCTACTGGCACGGCAGGTTTGTAGCATTGATGGTGATCATATCTGGATCCCAGCTGGGACATTGCTCAGGACTGCCATGCACCTGGGTCTTCATCGTGATCCAGCAAATTTCAGCAGCATCAGCGTGTATCATCGAGAAATGCGAAGAAGACTTTGGGCAACTGTTCTTGAGATTACTGCTCAGAGCAGTCTTGATATGGGTATGCCGCCCATGATTTCAGTCAATGACTACGATACCAAAGCACCTTCCAACATCAACGACGAGGATATCGGTGAAGGCCTGGATAAGGGACTCGACGAGAAACAGCCAGATGAATACACCGACAGCAGTATCCAAATCGCTCTTACCGATACCCTGCCAGTCCGACTCGAAATCATCAGACTCATCAATAATCTTCGCTTCGATCTCTCATATGACGATGTCCTCAAGATTGGAAGCGACCTCAATGACGCCTGTCGCTCGCAAACCATCTTTCTCAAATCAGCCCTCAACGCCGGACACACTATCACACCCTTCCAGATCAAAATGGCTGACTCGCTCGTCCGACGCTTCGTCCTGTGCCTGCACCGCCCATACTTTTCCAAGGCGAAGGAAAACCCAAAATACCACTACTCGCGCAAAATGTGTCTGGACACTTCACTAGCAATCTATGCACCAGCCACTGAATTTCTACCTGGCCAAGAAGACGACTGGACCCGCATGACGCATCGGTGCGTCGGATTCTTCAAATCGTTCTTCCTGTACGCCATGTCGACTGTGTACATGGAGCTCAACTCGCAAATCGACGAACAAAAACACGCATCTGCTATTTTTGCGCCACTCATCTCCACGAATCCGGCCACGTCTACTCGGCCGTTTGCTCTGCCGACACAATTTCACACACTTCGTGACGTGCTTGTTTCCGCGCACGAGACGGCTATTGCGCGTCTTCGCAACGGCGAAACGAATGCGAAAGGCGCTGTCTTTCTGGCCTGCGCGCTCGCACGGCTGGATGCGCTTGCATCTGGTGAGGACGCCGATCGCGCTGTCCTTGAGGCGGCAAAGAAAAGCGTGACTGACGCGAGTCTGATACTTACCGAAGTGTATCAAGCAGAACATGGAGTGCCGATTGATCTCAAGATCTCGATATCAGGGGAAGAGCATAGTCGCGGCGAGGGCGCGGATGACGTTACTGGTCGTGGGCTGCAGACGGGCACTGATGTATCCGGCGGGGTTGATCTTCCGATACAGGATAACCTCACTACTGAACTTGGTTCGTCGATGGTCGCCGGCATGAACGGCATGGACATTCTCGGGGACGGACTCGATGGACTCAATGGCCTAATGAACATGGATCTAGATGCATATTTGGCGGGTCAGACGCTGGATCCGGGCAGTTCTGATTATCACTTTGGACGAAGCCCGGAATGGTTTTATGATTTGAATGGATGGGCTGCCACTGGAAATTTCGGTAATGGGTATGCTGGCATGTAATGTTTCGTACAGAATGATGTATCAACCTTCGCTCTATGTGTCTCAAAAAAAGGCCAATGTCCCACAAAGTGATGAACGCCATGAAGTCACGTCTCCATCCCTCGTCTCAATGTTACCCATCTGCCAGCAGTCTTCACTAGCAAAAAGAAACCTCCCTCTACGCTTTTCTAAAAGGAATTGGGCCTTGCCGGGATTTGAACCTAGGCATCGTTAGCTACCCACTTCTCTACACGAAGAATTGACTTACCCGGGACCTGTCATATTCAAGATAGTCAGTACCTAGGATACTTCCCGAAACGACAATCATGCGACTAGACCACAAGGCCTCAGACTCCGTGATTTGATGTCGTTTTGATGAACTACTTGGAACATGTAGAACAACATGGATTAGCGGGTATAAGGAGGAGTTCGTAATGCACCTCATTTGCATTCATTGTAATTTAGTGACATTTGAAGTCAGTTTACCGCATCACACGCGCACACGCACAAGACAATATAAGCAAGGCAGTCATCATTTCAAATGTATTCACGAGCTATACGCCATCCGTCTCCGCCACCCCTTCACTCACTTAGGCACCGCAATATTCTGGGTCCCCTCAATCCTCTGCACAACTCCAAATCTTTTCCTGCCCTGATCGAAAATTGCATACACTGCCTTCAACCACGTATCCCCCAGGATATCAAACTTACTATCACCACGCGACTGAATCCCGCCATATTGCATACTGCTCGAAACCTTCGCGAATCCAAAGTCTTCTTTCTGCACTTCAAACTGTTTGTCGCCGACCGCAAACGTGACCTTCGGGAGTGACTCAAGCGGCGTGTTGAGCGGGAACACCCAGCCCTGGTTCTTGGTATCGAATTCAGCGCCAGGGATCTGTTCGTAGATGTCTTTGCACAAATCGTCGGATACGAGAGCGAGCGTGGTGCCCGTGTCGGCGATAGCGGTGTTGTTTGGGCGCTTGATGAGTTTGCCGTTGATGCTGGCTGAAGGACTCGAGAACTGCCAGAAGCCTTTTGTCGAATCGATGGGCACGTAGTGCGGCTCTTTCACGCCGCAGCGGTCGAGCACGTCTTGGTCGATGTACCCGAATGTGTAGAACGACTCGCCTTGATCGACTTCGTCTTTATCGCGCCAGGAGCCGAGGTAGCAGGTGAAGAGCTCGCGATCGTGGCTGATGTCGGCCTGCGCAATCCTTATTTGTCGTTAGCTTGGATTTTCAAGAGGTGGTTGAGGTTGGCAAGCCGGCAGCACAAAGATCTGCTACAATATTCAAGGATACGTACATGGATTCTACTGGAGTGGACACTGGCTTCGGCTTGACAGTATTGATCTTGCCAAATGCTAGCCCAAGAAGGCCATCGCCCGCTCCTTTGGTGAACTGAGCACTGAGCTTGCTGGCGAGCTCGATTGACTGCCCTTCGATACACAGACCGCCCAATGTGACGTTATCGGTACCAACGATGCCAGAGGCTGTGGAGCCATCGCCGTACTTGATTTTCCACGTGGAGCCAGACGCCTTGGCGTAGGTGGAAGACTTCTTGGAATCGTAGACATTGTGTTTGCCGCTCTTGCGCGTGGCGCTATCGAGTTCGGTCGACTAAACCTGAGATGACATGTCAGGCTGGATACACAAAGAAAAAATTTGTGGCAGACAATCGGTGTGCACAACATGCTGTGAGAAGATTAAGGACAACTTACCCAAAGATCTGAACTGCCGGTGTCGAAGTGGAGGTTGAGCGTCTGCGGTGGGCTGCCGATCTCCACTGGGCAGATATAAAGTGCGTCATTCATTTGATCTTCAGCCTTCACTTCCCCAGGTTTTCCATCCTCTTCAACTTTTCTCAGGACGGGTTTGGTGCTCTTCTTCGATTTTGGCTTCAAAGCATTCTTGAAGGACTTTTTGACGACATCTACTCGCTGAAAAGGACCCGTGGTGGTGGGAGCAAAGTTGTACTTCTTGAGAAGACTGGCGTACGACTTGATACCAGCGCGCTCACAAGCCGGATTGGAGACAACGTTGATGCGCTTGAGACTGGACATGTTTGTGGTGGTGCTGGAGGTGTAAAGGTATGGATAGGTACAAAATGTAGGCTGCTAGGGCGGCGCCGTGCTTGAGGAGGTGGTACTGACGTTGTGTGTAAGAATGTTAGGGAAGAGGTCTAATGTCGCGGGGCTCGAGATCTGGGTCGCAAATGGCTGAAAATGGGCCATCACAGCAAACACTGAAGGCGCAACAACGCCAGTGCTATGTCCCGTGATTCAACCACGGAACTGCTTGGATGGTGCCTGAACGTCTTCATAGCACTATGGAATGTCGCGAATCTATTCATATTGCACCAACTCAATCAAACGTCGTCTTCTTGCCCTCCGCTGCCACAATGGCCTGGCTCGCTCGCGGCGCGTTTGTATGTGCAGCACCGCTCTTGATTGTCCTTGCATCGACCTTCTCGCGTGGCCATTCCCTCTTGCCCTTAGAGAAGTTTTTCCACCTGTCGGGGTTCACGCCGTCAACGGCCTCAGGTTGCTCCTTCTCCTTTCCATATCGCTTGTTGTACCGTGTGGTCGCATCCTCCGCGAACTCGCAACGGAGCTCTCGCCCGTTCAGTCTATTCAGCAGCCACTTCCTTCGTTTGTTGCTCTTCAGATCTGCCTCGTCCTCTGACGCATCTGGCCCTTTCTTCTCGCGCTTAATCTCAGCTTCTGTCTTGAATATGAATCCCTTCACAGCCGACGTTGCTGACTCCACATCGCCAAATGTTACCCAAGCATATCCCTTGCATTTGCCAGAGTCCTCGAACGTCGCCATGTGGAGGAGCTCGATGGGTCCACATTGACTGTAGTGTGCTTCGAGGTCTTCCTTTGTGACATCAAAAGAAAGGTTGCCAACGAACACGCGCTTGTTTGGCGGGTGTGTCTGCTTTGCGCCTGCCTTCCCCCGACCGCTATCCTGCTCTTCCTCGCCCTTCGGCTTGTCCGGTCGTCCTTCAAAGCTCTTCGCATTCTTGATGAGCAGAGCGCGACCGTCCATCTTCGTTTCGGTCAAGGCGATTGCGGAATACATGGCGAGCTCGGTAGAGAAGTCGACGTAGGCAAAGCCCTTATTCAAAGGCTTCGTGGTCCAGTTCGGATTGACGGGCTTCGTGGGCGGAGGGAGATGCACCCTAGTGATCTGTTCACTCTTCATCTCCGCATGGTCGATCAGGAATGTGCGTAACGACTCCTTTGTCGCTGACCACGGCAGATTACCGATCCATACTCCATAGTCTGAGCGCTTTGCAGACTTGTCCTTGTCCTCTGCCGCCTCGCCCGCGGTCGTTCCACTCGTCGCATGGGCGCCAGTAGATTCGGGATTCAATTTCGCCTTCTTCGCCTTGCGCGCGGCTTTCTTGGACGCCGGTTCGGGCGCGCTGACATCGATTTCGATTTCGTCCGGGAGGGCGTCTCGTTTGCGTTTCTTCGCAGGTGTGTCGGAAACTTCTTCGGCGACAGTGGGCTCGGTCGTTTCTGGCTGCGCTTTCTTAGATTTTGAGCTCTTCTTCTCTTTCTTCTCCTTTTTCTCCTTCTTCTCCTTGCGTTCCGACTTGCTGGCAATTTCGGGCGCCGCCGAGGTATCTTCACTGGTGTGTTTCGACATTTTTGGTGGTGTCTGCGCAAGAGCGATTCTCGAACTTTTTCTTGCAGCACCGAATTTCACTAGCGGCTTCTACACGAGGTCTGAGCTTCTAGCACGCGGCCCGGACGCTATCCTGCAGCACCGCTTCGAACGGCAACATTAACCATGATCAATTGTGCATATGTGAGCATGCTTATTCTGACCTTATGAAGTCTATGATGAAACAGTCCTAGCTATCGGCTATACTTTTGTGTCGCTCGAAAGCAGTGGATACATCAAAGCATAAGTCGGTCAAGCAACCTGACCGGTCACGCCTATGCCCAGTGTCGTACTGTAACCAGTCGAAGCGCCCGTGTGACGCTGCTTGTCGTCTTATCTGTCCTAGCTCATGCTCTACCAAGGACCGTCTTCATCATCACGTGAGCATCAGCTAGAAGCCACCTCGACTGCTGGTTTCTGTGGGTGCTGATAAATAACAATCTCGTGGCGACAAGTAATCAGGCTTTGTGAACACCGTTGGAGGAGCTGACGACTTCACTGTTGCCTTTGGAGAAAGTGGGCCGGCTAGCTATCACTAGCAACGCACTGGTGAGCTTGATTCCGGTGTGGAGACGGAGATGGTGGTAGGCTTGCGCACTGGCCGCCCCGCTCCTCAAGGCAGCTACGACACGACCGACCTCTCGTTTGCTCCACCTTCCCTACATCTCCCTCCGCATCCCCCATCAACACCTCTGCAACTTCGCAACACCCAGCTGCAGCACTATTTCGTTGACCCTCGCGGCAACGAGCTTGCCGTGGCCGCTCTCTCTCACCACCCTTCCACTACGCCGCTCAGCCTCACTTACCGGCCATGGCGACCACCAACGTGCCCGTGACCCTGGACACGCCCATCGTGGTCAAGATCCTGTTCCGTGGACAGACCAAGAAGTTCAAATTGCCGCTGAAGGACCTTGGTGCTAATGTCCTCCCGGAGAAGGTGCGTTGCTCTCCATGTACAGCCTCGGTCGAGAGGCGTCAGCCTAGCGCAAGCACATCAGGCTCGCATCGGCTCTGAGATAGCTCAATACTGACGGCTCTTCCTCTCTATAGCTCCGTAGTATCTTGCAGGTCAAGCCCGAGGAGCAGGTCGTGTTTGAGCGCTACTCCGACTCGGCCGCTTCTTACGTCACCCTCGACTCCGATAAGCCTCAGGTCTACAAGACGCTGTTCCGCGCTGCAAAGGCAAAGTTGAAGCTCCGCCTGAAGGCCACCATTCCTGGAGAGCAGCCTGAGACCCCTTCCGTTCCCGCAGCCCCGGTCGCGGAGCCCGTCCCCAGCCTCCCATCGCTCCATCGCATGAGCGCGGATACACTGCGACCTCAGACCATCGCACCTATGATGCCTGTCATTGTGCGCTCGCCCAGCGGTCCTACGCCGGTCCACAAGTTTGAGCCCGTCAGCCCGGTCTCGCCACTCAAGGCAGCAGACGCAGAGGACGAGGCTCCGTTGCCACGCTCGTTCACCGCACGTCAGAGTAAGGCTATATCACGTGCTGCTCCAGCACCCGTACTGACCCAGCAACTAGGCTTCTTCAACAACCTTGCGAACGCCTCTCATAATGCCGATCTTGCATTCCGCCCGAAGCCGAACCACGCGTGCACCTCGTGGGTGGTATACTGCAACAACTGCAACCACCCCATGGAAGACGAGCATTACCACTGCAGCGTCTG